AAGCCCCTTATGGTCTTAAGAGTAAGATTGACATAAATATTTACTTTTAGCTCGTCAGAGTGGTATATACATTTACCATGTATTTACCTAATATTTACACATAATATACATTTACCATGTATTTACCTGATATTTACACATATCTGCCGGGTAAATATATGGTATTTGTGGGTAAATATAATATGTCACATTTACCAAACATTTACATACCCCACGTAAATTTGGTAAATCCCATATTTCGTGCAGTGAAAGGAACACTTACCGAGGAAATTGTGCTTCCTGCAAGTACTTTGATGCAAGACGTGCCTTCGAGGAAGACAATCTGGTTGTGTTTTGTCCAATTTGTCGAGTTATAGTCGGTATAAAACGCACCAACTTCACCGATCGTAAGAGCGCAGCCATTTTGAACCAAGTGATAAACTGCAGTGATGGTACAAATCGCAAAGAGCGCTGTTGTTACATGAAACTGCCTTGTTACGGTTACCTTATCTCCAAGCAGATGTTAAGGTGGAAGATGAGTTTCAGATTGTCGTGGAAGGTTTGTCACAGAAGCCAGGCTGTGAGAGAAGGTGCTCACAGAGGGGATGAGGAACTTAGGGTCCTCTTGGCCGGAACTTTGGCCGCACCTTCTCTGCTGCCTCGCCGGCTAGCTTTCGAAGTTCAAACCACTGAGAATCTTACGACGAACGACTGGAAAAGAAAAATGAATATCTGTCAATCAAAAAAAAATTCAAAGTTCCTAAACCACAATTTGATTTTTGTATTTCAATCCAATTATCTCCCATTAAATACTACGTGACGTAGCGTTAGCGTTACACGATATTCGTTCTGAACGCTTTCTTATTTGGTAAGGCCACACCGATTTAATTTTATGGATGACATCATCTGAAGACCCCCAAACTAGTGCGCGCGGGCGAAAAAAATAAAAATCCGGCCAAAAATAAAAATGCTACAAAACCACAGGAATACAAAGCTGGTATTGTGAATTTGGCGCATTACATAGCGACGTATACGACAGGCCGACACATGCTGGATTTTTGCGGAATATATGAATCGACACTGTTGTACGTATTCACTGAGTTCTTGAGTCTTGGAGCTTCGGTAACCTGGCTGCCGTCAACCAGAGTCATCACCACCATGCACTACCCAGGCCTAAAGCCAGGCCAGAGCCTCGGAATACGTGATCTTTTTTTTTTTTTTTTTTTGAGTAGTCGGGACGAAAATCAATGCGCGCGCGGATGTCATCCATAGAATTAAATCGGTGTGGCCTAAATTTCAAAAGAACGGAACATTTCCATAACGTTACCTGCGCTCGACAGACGTCTCGACAGGCCCCTGCCTTTCAGCATCCACGGGTGTTCTAGGATCTGCTTGAGAGAAGGACGGCCGGACGGACGGACTGTCAACATCCACCTGATGAGATCTTCGCATTCTTTTGATACCCGTCGTTCGAAGTAGACCTCGCCTCTGCAGATTTCGTCGTCTCGCAGGAAGGGGACGTCCCCGCAGACCATGACGTACAGCAGGGTGCCCAGCGACCAGACCGCCGCCCGGCGCCCGTGGTAGCGACCGAACCGGGATCCACTCAGGAGGACTGTATATTCTCGTTCCAGCGAAATACTGTGTAGACTGTGTCTTTCAGGAAGGCGCCAGACCCGAAAGTCGATTAGCTTGATTCTCCCCGTGTTCAGCTCGACTAGTAAGTTCTGGACCTTGATGTCTCTGTGTACCACACCCTGGTTGTGGCAATGCCTGACCATGTGCACGATTTGGACCATAAACTCTCTGCTCAAGAACTCGCCCAAAGCACCCTTTTCCGAGATAAAGTCAAACAGGTCCATGACTGGCTCTGGACGCTCCAGGATGAGGATATAGGAACCCCGGGTTTCGTACCAGTCCAACAACTTGATGATGTCGTCGTGGCCCATCACTCGCCGCAACAAGACGATCTCCAAGGGAACAGTCACTCCGTTCAACTGTCCCCATTCTGTGACGTCATCTCTCACTATATGCTTGATGGCCACCGGTAGGCCGTCCCGTGCCCTTGTACCGGCATACACGGTGCCGAATCCGCCGGTCCCCAGCACCGCTCCACGGTGGTACGCCTTCTCGAAAGGCTCTCTCTCTGGCTTGCTCGCTATGTGCTTGATGGCCACCGGTAGGCCGTCCCTTGCCCTTGTACCGGCATACACGTTGCCGAATCCGCCGGTCCCGAGCGCAGCTCCACGGTTGTACACCTTCTCGAAAGACTCTGTCACTGGCTTGCTCGCTATACNATCCGCAGCTCCCGAGCATCGCTCCACGGGGGTACGCCTTCTCGAAAGACTCCCTCTCTGTCACTGGCTTGCCGGGTGTTAGATACATGCTGCTCGTCGGGGCAGGGCTGTACGAAACTCCCCTTCACGTCAGCGGGGTCCGGCCGCTGAGGCGCCAATGTCGGCGCCGGTGCGTCCTGTTGCGATTCTGCCGCAACTTCATCAGACTTGCCGGCGGGCGGCCCACGGCTGTGCTGGGATTAGGTTGAAGGCATCAATGCCTCGGGGACGTGTGAGTATAAAGTTCGTACGTTACATGGAGGGACTTATTATCCCAGTGTGTGTGTATATATATATATATGCGTATGTGTGTGCGTGTGAGTAGTGTGTGTGTGTGTGTGTGTGTGTGCATGTGCATGTGTGTGTGTGTGTGTGTGTGTGTCACACGGTGTGTGTGTGTGTGTGTGTGTGTGTGCGTATGTATGTGCGTGTGTGTATGCACGTGTGTGTGTGTGTGTGTGTGCGTGTGTGAATATAACGTTATGCGTATGCGTGTGTGTGTAGTGTGTGTGTGTGTATGTGTATATATATACGCATACTCGCGCGAGCGTGTATGCGTATATATATATGTATGTGTGTGTGTGTGTGTGTGTGTGTGTGTGTGTGCGTGTGTGTATGTGTGAATATATGCGTATGCCGTGTGTGTACGCGCGCGCGCGCGTCTACGTGTATATATATACATATACATGTATGTTTGTGTGCGTGTGTATGTGTGAATATATGCGTATGTTTGTGTGTGTGTGTGTGTGTGTGTGTGTGCGTGTGTATGTGTGAATATATGCGTATGCCGGTGTGTGTGCGTGCGTCTATGTGTATATATATACATATATGTTTGTGTGCGTGTGTATGTGTGAATATATGCGTATGTTTGTGTGCGTATGTGTGTTCGTGTGTGTGTGTGTGTGTGTGTGTGTGTGTGTGTGTGTGTGTGTGTGTAGTGTTTGTGTGTGTGTGTTGAGGGGTTACTCTATCAGTAGGTTCTACTTCAAAAGAAATCTGCTTCACTCACCTGGGCGTCCCCGTGCCACGCCATGTTCACCATCTTCCACCGTCTCCTCAACTGGTAATGGCGCTACTTTCCCGTTTCTTTTAGGGAAACATGTGAAGAATATCTTTCTTACAAAACGAAGCATTTTCACCCGTTATCAACGGAGCTTGACTTGGAAAAAAGTAAAAGCTGTGGAGCTTTAAAAATTTATGTTTCAACGTTATCGTTGAGCACTGTCTCTGTTTAGAACAACAATGTTGTTTAGTGACGTCACAAACATATATACATTGTAGTAGAACATGGGCGATTCGACTTGCGGGGGGGGGTGAATAGAACGAAACGATAGATGGCTATAAGCTACATCAGATGGCCTTCACTCACTCACTCACTCACCCACTCATTCACTCACCCACTCACTCACTCACTGAAAGAATTTAATTCTGTCCATACCTGTCCAAGGCAAATATCAAGACAATCCATCTTAGCCTTCTTGAGTTATCGTGCTCACACACACACACACACACACACACACACACACACACACACACACACACACACACACACGAACGCCTACGAAAACATAACCTTCTTGGCGAAGGTAATGAATAAGTGCCACTCTGGCGGTGTATGGCGCTTTACGAGTGTTAAAAGCTTGAAACACAGCTGTCATCAATGTTTGTTTACATTCTGGTAGTTTAATTTGTGGTGGTACTACAAACTGAGTGTGCCTCGTCTGGTCTGTTCAAGTTTATTAGCGCCAACCGTAAATGTCAGAAATGTGAGATATTTTCACAAATATGTTGAAAAGTGGAAATCAAATTAATATTTTTCTATGAAATATTTCATTTATTGGTGCAAACATGTTAACATTGTTACATAATACCCGTTTAAGGTTAAAGTAATCACCTGCTCAGACAGGTTTGACCATCTTCTTTTTATATGAATGAATGAATAAACTTCATTGCTCGACAGTTGTACAATGTATGGCATCAATAACAATGTGATCAATACAATCAAGTCTATTCTAAGAGACTACTAGTATTACTGCAGGAATATGGCCGTAAACGGCGTATGACATGATGTGACTGATTGTGAGTTGGGCGTTACTATCTGTTACTATCTACTATCTACCTCCATGCTATCTGTTACAATACTTTCTCTCTTTTGTAGTGCACTGCATATAATACTGGCCTAAGTACGTAGATATTCAGATATGGAGTCGGGACGTGTTAACGATTAAAAAATAAAAATGTCTATGTCTATGTCTATGTCTTTGGGAGAGGTTTACCAGTTGATATGTTCATGTGATTGTGACACAAACTAATGTCAACAGTTGAGTTGATACTCATACATAATTTGCCATACGTCATTATGTTTCCTCGTGGGCTGGCACGGAGGATAGACACAGTCACGAGTCTCGTGACACGTAATCCGACCCGGTTAGTCACCGACATAAATAGGCGGGAGAATGGGGCAGGTTCATTAGTTACCTTCGATAGGGGTGCATTTAGTGTAATGTATAATGTTCTTGTCACTCAGTGGTTTTCTGGTGCATTTATACAAATTAAGCATTGTTAAATACTGCTGTATCAAATTGTGACTTTAACAACAACTGATGTCCCGTGGTGTGGTCAATCATTTCGATGTAAAGTAATATACATTAACCCCCCTCCGGTGCCCCATTTTGGATCGTTCTTGTCACATGATAGTTTAGGTAAATATTGAGAGCGGAAAGGTTCCTCCTGCGACATAAAACGACGACGACGACATCGCCATAGTCTGCAAGTCTGCTGCTACAATAGCTGACAACCAGTCTTGCACTTAGTACTATCTAACACAGTAGTGCTCGCTGTCATCACTGTATTGTTTCGACACTCCACATTTGAAGCAAGGCTCAGAACTTTTCGGCACCCTCAAGGAAACTCTACAGAACCAACATGGCGGAAGGTTTAGGGATGAACTGCGTCAAATATCTGCTTTTCTTCTTTAATTTTCTTTTCTGGGTAAGTGTCTTCATGTTTAGATACTTCTATTTTATTTGTACGTAACGTTAATAGTATTATAGTAACGCTTACACATCAACTTATAAGGCCTAACAAAATAAATGTTGTGTTTCCTATTACAGTCCAGAAAAAATTAGGGTCGGTAGGTAGGGATTCATACTTTTTTTTTTTTTTTTTTTTTTTTAGTCAAAGCCGGGACAATGAACGTATGATCTGTTTGTACTACACAGACAGGGATGCTATTGCATTTTGTCTTTTCCAAACACAAATGGAGGTCATTTCCTGCAACTTCAGTTCTACATTTTCTGTGCAACTGCAGATGTATAAGGCAGTAGAAAGGTTCAAGATCTGTACTTAATTATCCTCATGTTCAAAAAAAATTCTACCCTTAATTTTGAAAAAATTGGGCATAGGTTCCCCGGATGACCCCTAACCGGGGGCCAACGGTGCTTCCACAAGTTCAACAAGTGAAAAATACATGATACAAAATGTACATGTATTTACTACCTGGAACTTGGAGCAATTTATTCCAAAGATGTTAACTGACATTAATATATTAAAAACTAAACCAAATCCTATTTCTCAAACAAATCACATATTGACACAGCTGAACAAATAAAAATGTGATCATGTTTATAAACTCCACTCAAAAACAATTTTTGAGAGACACTCGGGTCACGGTACTAAGCGTGATAATCTCTAATATCTCATCTGATTCTCCCAATATGTAATTGTCATCTTTACAATGACAGCATCCAACCGCACATACATAGAAACAACAATATTACACAAGAAACCAATTAATTTGGAAAATTTCTCAGTAATGTTTAGAAAATTAACCTTACTAAAATATAACTGAATTTTTATTTCAGTTGTAGCCGAAAAAAATATTTTTCATGCGTTTAAAGTATCGTTTTAGCACTGTAATATGTACTTATTACATGTATCTATACATTTGGATGCTATCTTGACCTTTGACCATTGTTATTGTGAAAACAGGTCGGCCATGTTGTCTTTCTCGCCGTGAATTTTCGAGCCGTTTTTTCGAGCAAATTTCAACCGTTTTAAACATTTTACGGCCTCAAAAACTCATATAACGAGGAAAACAAGTTGTAGTTGTTATTTTCATGCGTAACATTTCTTCTGGGGATGGATTATTTTTCCGTCGAGCTGCCGAAAACTTATCGCCATGCCGTAACCATGCGATCGGGCGCGGCCGGCCGGCGGGAGTTTTACTTTGTATCGGTGAGCTTTCGCGATGTAAACAAAGACAGTCGGAGTTGTTTACATGAAAATTTTGTTGTGAAACGCCAGCGGGGTGTCAGATTTTCTACCAATGACAACGTTTTCTTCGTGGCGTCATGGCGAGATCGACAATTCATCGTCAATTCACAGGATTGTGCCGACAATGGAATTGAATAGCGGCCCGATCCGTGCAATTAGCGCTCGATCCACGCCGCCCGACCGAAGAAAATTGGAATGACGAGCACATTTATCGGGGATAAAATCCCCAATTTTGAAAACCGACCGCTAACCGCTCGAAATTTTTGGTCGGCCCAAAAAAGGCTAGGGTCGGGGGGTTTTTCATAGGGTCGGTCGGGTAACCGGAAACACAACATTTTTTTTCCTAGGCCTAAGCTTATTTTGTGGTGAGACCACTAGAAACCTCCATTCCATAAAATGTTTCTTCAAGAGGCCTTCTTACTTAGGCTGCCAAATAACTGCGTATAACTCCTAAACAAGTGGTCGGTAACCCTTACAATCGGGCGATAATCCTCACAAGTGGTTTATAATCCTCAAGAGTGGTCCTCAGCTCAATAAACGTTACAGGACACCTCGGTCATACACTCCAATTTAGTCCAAATTGCAAGTAAGGGATGCCGTGAGGGGAGGGGCTTTGTGTTTGTTCACGACCTTTTCAAAGCATACAACAGCCCAGCTTTTGGCTTCTGAAATAACAAGAGTTCCGAGATCTTATACGTCCATGAAATATGGGCTTCGCCTTGTCATATGTAAATGTAATTAGGTCATCATTTGCATAAATAGTATCTGTTGATGTTCCATCTGCCATACATGTAGGTTACATACATTACATGTATAAAAGTACTATAAAAAAAAAAGTATAATGTGAAACACTGTAATTATAGAATTTCCTCGTTAATTATGCAAATTAAGTCCTCATTTGCATAATTCGCATTTCATTAAGGTACATCTCTCTCAGCTACCTACTACCAAAAATGATGAAAATACGCTGTTCCAATCTGGACTTATTGGCTTTCAAAGATTTTGCCCGAAAGTCCCCGCAGTTCCAGAACAAGCTGCTCGGGGGACCAAACCCACACCACTTATTCACTTAATTCAGGACCCAGTGCTGACTTTCCAGTTCTCACAAGGAGAGTAGACTTTATCTTAGAGAGAGACCTCATTGGATCTTAGAGAGAGACCTCATTGGTTATCATGTCTGTGACTGCTTGCTTTTATATATTGTGATTAGTCTCATTATGGGGTCTCATGAGTATGATAAGGACTGGGAAAAAAATGTTGTGTTTCCTGTTTCACTTTCAGTCCTGAAAAAATTAGGGTCGGTAGGTAGGGATTATGTTTTTTTTTCTTCTTTAGACTTTGGCGATCTCTAGTGTTCCAAGTTCTACAATACAGTATTTTAACAAATTAAAAATTAGATGAGGACACTTATATTTAATGTCAGTGTTGCAAAACCATTATTGTACAAAGTTTCATCACTCAGGTGTCAGATTGGAACTCGAAAAGGTCGATCAGCTCCAATAATTTATGTCCCTTAATACAGGTCCACAAAAAAAGGGCTAGGGTCAGCAGTTTTTCTAGGGTCGGTCAGGAAACAGGAAACACAACAATTTTTTTACTAGGCCAAACTTCCTCTTCCCTCAATCATGTTGTTCATGACTATAATTTCTGTGCCAGGTTGCTGGCCTGTTCCTGGTGGGTGTGGGGATCTGGATCAGAGTTGACGACAACGCACTCAAGATCCTGCACAACCTGGACAACCTGGACGAGACCGTGGTGTACGCCGGATGTTACGCTTTCATTGGCGTCGGTGCGGTGGCTCTGGTCGTCGGATTCTTCGGATGCTGCGGGGCGGTCATGGAGAACAAGTGCCTGCTGGGAACGGTATGTTTCTGAGGAAAAAAGGTCGCAAACTGTACTGTCATCATGCAAAATTGAAGTTATCATTACATCATTATAAGAGGGCCTGCATGCCCTTTTCCCTTAACTGTTATGGGCTATTTCAATTCATCGTTAATTGTTGCTGACCCCCTCTAATTTAACGTTAAGCGTCATCAGTATATTCATTGTGAAGCGTTATTGGTCGTTTTAATTCTACGTAGAGCGTTACTAGTCATCCTAAATTCAGCGTTAAGCGTTAATGAATAATTCTTAGTTAGGGCTTAGGCCTTTATTTGCCTTTCAAACTGCAGGAAAATGCGTCATTGCAGGTTTAGAAATACAAAATTTCCCGGGGGAGCATGCCCCCAGACCCCCTACATTGCTCGCCTTACTGTAATTTGACATTTAATGATTTAGCAAATGATGACCAGTATATAGTCTAACATATGATACATATGTCAACGCTGCCAGACTTCATTTGATAAAATGTACTGAAGTTGTAGAGGAATAACTATAACCATTTCTTACCTTTTTCAGTTCTTTGCCTGCCTGTTTGTGTTGCTGATTGCTGAGGTTGGGGTGGCCATTTATGCAGTGGTGAAGAAGCCTGATGTAAGGAAAAACAGTTTCAGTTTCTATACTAATAATGAGTCAGCATTATAAGTGTTCAAGGATTACCTCTAAACACGGCCGTTTGTGTTGTGAGAAGAATATCTACGTTTTTTTAATAATACATGTATATTGAACGATTATATAAGTTATGATAAATTATTTGATAATGCCCAAGGATATTTTTAATAGACCCATTAGACTTTCAATGATCGCATAGACTGCGTACGTCACAGGGGGGACATTTCAAAAGAACATCGTTCTAGAACGCTGAAGTCAAACGTTGCTTGCGCTCGCGGTGTCCCCCCTGGCAGATCATTTTTTTTACTAAAAGGTAGGTAAGTGTCTATTTTCTCTGTAATATATGCGGAAATGACAGGAAAACAGGCACCAACTTTGTATGGCGGCATTCCATACAACAGTTTAAGGTTATTTTGTTCTGTGGCGTATGCAGTTTATGCGATCCGTGAAAGTCGAATGAGTCTATTTAAAATATCCTTGGGCATTATCAAACTTTCGAAATGTCCCCCCTGTGACGTAGTTTCTATTCGAAATGTCCCCCCTGTGACGTTAGCAGTTTATGTGATCCGTGAAAGTCGAATGGGTCTATTCTGACAAAATATATTTTATATCGTAGGCTGAAAAGTTTCTGAAGGAAGGACTGGACAAGATTGCGGAGAAGAAGTATCAGGACCTGGACCCTGAGCTGCAGAGGCTGGTGGACTTCTTCCAGAAGGAGGTAAGGAGATTTTAATTAATTTGATTTGATATATTGAAGTTGCAACGTTACAGTGCAATACATGCAGAACAGAGGCAGCTGTTGCTGGTGTTGTGTCCCGCACATAGAAACAAATACTGGACAGACAATACTCATTTTCACTTGAGTCTAGTGGGGAAAGTCATGTAAAGTGCCTTTCCCAAGGGCAAAAGACCGGTGGCATGTAAGGACTCGAACCAAAGACACTTCTAGAGGTGGTTTAGAATCGGTTTTCCCGCATCGCGATTTGCGTCTGAATACAATGTGATTTCAATGTGACTTCACTTGGTCATGGATTACGGGGTGATATTTCTTTATTTATATGCAATACCAACTTTTACGTTGCAGCAACTTAAAGAGCAGTAATGGTCAAATAATGTGTCCGTTCTAGGACGAGCTTCACCGCCTCTGGCGGGACCACGTCGGCATTCGGCCGAGATACGCTGGGAGGGGGGCATCAGCAAGCAGGTCGTTGACCTCTGACAATAATGACACGCTACCTAGTGTGTTTTCATCAAACAACAATGAATGCAGTTTCGGAGAATCGTGATCGGGCACGTTTTAAAAGGAATGTGTGGCACGTGGACCAGATGTGAGGAATGCGAGTTACCCGAATCGCGGTTTGGGTGACTTCACATAAACACAGCCTCACTCTCTCCCATAGCTTAATACTTAATACTCTCAAGTAATTAATTAATAATGATGCTGCATAAGTATTAATGTTTCCATGCATTTTTCACTGAACTTGTGGTTTTTCCTCTGACAGTTTAAGTGCTGCGGAATGAACAGCACCACGGACTGGGCACCTGACTACCCCGACACCTGCAACTGCACTGCAGGTGACACCTGTGATGCAACATCCGGCAGGTGGAAGAAGGTACGCACTGTGGTTTGTCATTTTGTTCTATAGAAGAGAATCAGACTTAATTTGATGTTTTGATCCATTTATGCCACACCAATTTAATTTGTTGGTTCTCGGATTTAAAAAAAAAAAATTAAGTGACAGGGCGAAAGAAAATAAAAATAAAAACAGGCGTAGGCCTCCAACATAGTCCCAGATGCTATGATAGGAGCCATGAAGTCAACACAAAAGGCTGGGCTTAGATGGAAAAACTGTAACAGCTAGGAAGAAAAGAAGTTTCCTCAACTGTTGGGGGCAAAATATCAGCATTTTTTAGTTGATTCAGAACCAATTTTTTTTTTGCAAATCAGAAAAAAATGAAGAGGCGAATCCAAGAACTAACATATCAAATTGGTGTGGCCTTACCGAAGATGTTTTAAAAGTATTATTACAACTTAATTGACAAATAAAGTGCAGAAACTACACATAGTGTATAAAAACTACTCTTTCCCACTGTCCCACATTTAGTGTCTTAAATGCATTTCTAACTGAGATTAGTGATGCATACCGGTTCACTGGACTTGGATCTGGACTTGTAAGAATGTTCAGGTTCAAGTAAAAAAAAACCTAAAAGTCAAGAACCGAGTCCGGACTTATTACCATAAAATACCATTTCACATACCCCTTTTCTTTCCAAACCACCTAAAACCTACATACATACATAAAACCTTCGCTGCAAAATGAAGAAAACATTGCCATCGGGCATCGTCAAGTACTGCCCTCCATTTATGTGGCCAAAGTTTCACCCAGACAACATTGCAAGGTTGCCAACATGCAATTTTGTATATGTCATGGGTTTAGGTCCAGACTTACAAGTCCGGAGCTGAACCTAAACCTCAGTCTGGACTTGAATCTGGACCTGAACCTAAAATTGAGTTTAGGTACATGTATGCATCACTAATTGAGACCAATTATTTGCCACAGCCATGCGATGAGGAAGTCATCAACAACCTGAATAAGAACATTGTCTACATCGGAGGTGGAGCGCTCGGTGTGGCTCTTATCATGGTGAGGTTCAGTTTTCATGTTTCATACTGCATATTGAATTTCCAAATCCTGAACATTTTATATAAAGCATTAATGAGCAATATGACGCAGTGTGTAAGAAATATAATTGCATTGGTAGGGGCACTGTGATGTCAATATATTTCTAGGTGACCATGCCCGTAGCCAGGATTTT